TAGAGAATTTGCAAAAGGTCAAAAACATATTTTCTTCTATTTAAGTTTTCTCACTTCTCGTAATTATCAATTGCATTCTTGAACTTGTTCTTATACCATTATCATCTTTCAAGAGTCACTCATGAGTTCCTCTAATGCACATGTTTCAAGAGTCTCTCGTCGAAGTCATCATCATAAGAAGTCCAAGGATCTTTACATGGAGTCAACCCATATAACCACACTAGTTAAAGATCCTTATATATTTAGTGGCACTTTAGATCCCAATTAATTCTTGGATTGATTAGCTAATTTCAAAAAATATTTTGATTGGCATGGCATTTCGGATTCCCATTGCGTCCGTTTTGCTAAATTGTTGTTGGAGGGTTCCGCCAAGAAGTATTGACAAACAATCCAAAGAAGCCTAGACTCCTTAGGAGAATCACCTATCATTTGGGTTGAAATGAGATATAAATTGAAAGAGAAGTATTTGCTTACTTCCTACATGGATCAAGTTTATGACCAATGACTCAATCTTAGACAACATTCTTCTAGTGTTTGTGATTACTTTGTCCAGTTTGATTATCTCATGTTCTTGTGTGACATTGTTGAAGAACCTTGGACAATTGATCAGTTTATTCTTGGGTTGAGACACAAAATTAGTAGGGAGGTCAAGCAATACACTTTTAATACGTTAGTTATAGCCTATCAATATGCTCTAAAGGTTGAGAGATTTCATAAGAAATCCAACTATACCTTGATGGGTTCTCAATCACAGCCTGTTGATAGGACATCTTCCAATTTTAATTTCATCACATATGAGTATCACGATTACTTAAACGATGTCCATGTTGTTTCTGCATGCTTTTCCTAATCCGAGTGTGACAAAGGATTTAGATATTTTAGTATCAAATAAAGAGGAAAATGTTACTCATATGGACTTTCAACTTTCTCATTCAGTTTCGTCATATCAGAGTCCTCCTCCTTTGCACCCACAAGAGTTCATTTCAAAAGAAAATGTGTGTGAGTCTTTGCTTATGTCAATTCTTGAACCATCATTGGTCTTGAAAATTGTGAAAAAGTCTGATGAGTCAACACTTATGCAAGATATTAAGCCAAACGAGTCAATTATTGCAGAATCTACTAGTGACTATTCAGTGTCTACTTGTCCAAGTCATCATGATTTTGTTGCAGATTCTTCCCAATCTAAGATTATTGACTTTGTTCTTCTGTCTACTACCAAGTGTTCGCTTCAGTTTGTACTTAATTATTTTCAGTACCAAAGTCGTTATTGTTCCTCCTTTATCATTGAAGTCTTGTCCCACTAAATGCTTGTTGTTCAAGTCTGATGAGAATTATTTTCCTTTTCTTGAGTTTGGATCTATTGCTTATTTGCTTCATTTTTTATTGAATCTTAGTATTAGTCCAGATTTTTATTTGGAGGACATGCTACTTAATCGAGGTACTCCAGTGTCTCATATTTTATTAGCAGGTGTTCATACAGATGGAGATTCTTACATTTATCCTGATCGATGGAAAGAAGTTGATGATTTTTTCATTCTAGATGAGGTATTATGTCATATTCATCCTGCTCTCTTAGGGTATTTCTCCTTTGAAAACTCTCAAGAGAAGAGTTTTTTTCAACTGGAGGAGAATGATAGGGATCGTGTAGGAATTAGATAGATATTTTAGATTAATCATGAGAGTAATTTAATATTTATCTTTTAAGTATTTTCTTTTAACTTTTAAGGGCTTAGTTGTCATTGTGATTATTTATTTATTTTAGAGTTCTTTTAGGATTTGTGTTCTCCCCATATATATAGGGGATATGGTATTTGTTTTGGTAGACTTTGATTATTGATTATTAATATTGAATCTTCTTCCTAAAATTCCCTCTCTATTTTCATCTCCTTCTTCTTTTTTTCTCATCCCTTTCTTCTTCCCTTCTTATCTCTAATTCTTCTCTAATACGATCTACATCAATTTGATATCAGAGCTATTACGATCTACATCACTAATTTTCCTTACTTTCTATTGCTCTAGTAAACATAAAAGAAAATGAAAGATTTTTTTTTTAGGAAAAAAAATGTATCCCTTTAATTGGAACTTGTGAGGGAAAAATTGCTCTCAAAACCTTAGAATTTGAAGATTTGGAATTACAAGTGCGATTCTAAGAGCAACTCCAACAATCTTGTTAAACAGCACTGGTTAGCTATTTTAGATAACTCCCCCATAAAATCTGACTCCAACAGGCTAGTTATTCCACTATCTATTTCTCATAATCCTCTTTTCACTTGCTGGTTGTAGCTAGCCCCCTTCTCCCTCGCTGGCACCAATTTCCTTTCCACATTCTCTCTTTTTCTCTGAAGCTCCACCAACTGAAACTTCATCGCAAAAGGCTCCACCGACTAAGGCTCCATCAACTGAAGGCTCCACCGGTATGGTCTTTTTTTTCTCTCTCTCTCTCTCAGAATGGGGAAGACGATACAACTCTCTAACTCTGATTTCATTTGATTTTTTTATGTTATCAGATTGCGTTTTAAGTTTTGGGTTTCGTGAGAATCGATCAATTTGTAGCTCATCTGCGTATTTTCTGTTCAAATTGATTTGTTGGGGACATTGAATTTGATAAATAGATAATTATATTCCCAGATAACTTCAGCTTTGCTTCGTGTCGTGTGATTTGGGTTGATGGGTTGTTAATGGTTCTCTACTTTTGGGTTTTAGAGGGTTAAAAATGAGCTTCCNGTGATTTGGGTTGATGGGTTGTTCATGGTTCTCTACTTTTGGGTTTCAGAGGGTTGAAAATGAGCTTCCAAGATTGTGGGTTTATCATGAGCTAACCATCTTGCATCTGCACTTGAGTAAACATGGATGTTTGATCATTATTAGTGGAAATTGATGCCTGCAATATACTCGTAATAACTAGAATAGGTTGTAGGCTTGTAGCAAGAGTTCAAATGAATGATTTTTATCTTATTTTTAGGGTTAGTTTTGAGTTCAGGAGTTATTTGAAATTGATGATTATCTTCAACAAGTTCAGGTTTACCTTATAGAAACACAGAGTGTACTATATCTTGGATGCTATGAGAAGTGATCAAGATCAAGTTCATATGTTTTANCCAAGAGTTCAAATGAATGATTTTTATCTTATTTTTAGGGTTAGTTTTGAGTTCAGGAGTTATTTGAAATTGATGATTATCTCCAACAAGTTCAGGTTTACCTTATAGAAACACAGAGTGTACTATATCTTGGATGCTATGAGAAGTGATCAAGATCAAGTTCATATGTTTTACACTTGTGGGTTGAGGGCTTCCCCCCAATATGTGCGATTAATTTGCTTATGTTGTGAATCCTCTTTGATGGTCATATCAAAATGTGGCTTTGATTTGCGATTGCTTGCTCATTGGACCTTCTCATGTTTGGGAGTTGAATTTGATTTGAATGCTTTGTGAATCAGTCACCTTCTCTTCCCCCTCGCTTTGTTTAGTTCAGGGGTGTGGTGTGGGAAAGGAGAAGAAAATGTCAAGGAAATCATTTTATCTNTACCTTCTCTTTGCCCTCGCTTTGTTTAGTTCAGGGGTGTGGTGTGGGAAAGGAGAAGAAAATGTCAAGGNCACCTTCTCTTCCCCCTCGCTTTGTTTAGTTCAGGGGTGTGGTGTGGGAAAGGAGAAGAAAATGTCAAGGAAATCATTTTATCTTGTTGAGTTGCCATGGAAAATAAGAGGGCAGATATTAAATGAGGGGAAAGATTTATTTTTTTATTCAACTTGCCATTTCATTTCCTTTTCATGAATTGCAATCCAATTCGAGAAACTTTTAATTTCCATTTTTTTTTTGAACTAGCAGAAACACGCTAGGGTATTTGTCTTTCCTTTACATGTACCATTTCCTTTTTCATTTCCTTTCCTTCACTAATCTGCAAACCAAACAGAGCACCGATTAGGTGATATTCTATCTAACATACCCAGTGGAAAAATAAACTACCTTGGTAACTATGTTTGATTGCGTGGTATTTTGTTTAGCTTTTGATACAAGACTGGCATTTGTCAAAAAGAGAATTGATTCAGTTTTTGTTATGTAGACTGTTTCGAAACTGTAAGTGCTTCAAATGCATGCATTCATGTTGAATTGCTTTTCTTCATTGACATCTGATCCTTGACCTTTTGATATATTAAGCTTCCAGTTTCCTTCCTTTCTTGGGACTTGGGAGTGTCTTACTTCAATTTATGCCCTCTTGACTTTATCTTTGCAAAGCACCGGCTGCCCATACTTGCGCAGCAAATGTTCACATGTTTCTATAGCTGTGAGAACATTTTCTAGTGTTACTCCTAGGGGTGCTGGGAGGGGTGGACAGAATACAGCACCTCTTGGTATTATATGCATGAAATTACTGCCTCATACTTGTCTATATGAGTAGCCCGGTACATGAGACTCTTGCCACAGCGGAACCACTGCAGAAGTGTCAGATGTATGCAGCTTTGCGCCACATGGAAAAAGACTATTTCTACAACTCAAACCCTTGATGCACCGGTTACACTAAAGCAACCTTACCGTTGTGCCAAGACCCACCCTGAAAATTCGTTCCATAAAGCCTGTAACCAGAGTATTTGGGACTATGGTCTGCTTTTGGCTTATTATACCGATAGGATAGTTTGTTTCTATTTTGTTTCTACTCTCTTGCTATGTTTTTTGAAAAATTATAGAACAAAGTCTATGAGTGGATGCTTCATATGTAATGCAACCTTTTATTGTCTCTATGGGAAGGTGTGTATCTTGAAATTTTGTTTTAGACAAAATAAACATCACTAAAGTTTACCTGAGAATATAATGAGGTTATAAACCAGGTTGGTTCCACAGTGTGTGTGTGTGTGTTGTTGTTTTTTGGTGGGGTGTGGGGGGGACGACTGGACTTGGCACCCCCAATTAAGGAATCTAAAAATATGACAAACAAAAAAATTCATTGGATTTTTAAAAGATAATCCGTGAATAATCAAAACATGTACATATCTATTCTTCTGAGAATGATTCGGCTCCGTCATCTCCGTCTCCGTCTTCAACTTCCCTTTGAAAATCAACACAAATGTGAGAGAAAATGCATTTCAAGTGCTAGGGAATTCGAAATAAAATTTATTGAGGTGGTTTGTCAAATCAAAATGTAAAGAGTTTCACTGCCATGTAATTGTTCCATCAGTTTTACAAAATGCATGTTTAAGTGTNCCATGTACATATCTATTCTTCTGAGAATGATTTGGCTCCGTCATCTCCGTCTCCGTCTTCAACTTCCCTTTGAAAATCAACACAAATGTGAGAGAAAATGCATTTCACGTGCTAGGGAATTCGAAATAAAATTTATTGAGGTGGTTTGTCAAATCAAAATGTAAAGAGTTTCACTGCCATGTAATTGTTCCATCAGTTTTACAAAATGCATGTTTAAGTGTGTTTTGTGCTGCATTGCAGGTGGAGTATAGTCGTTTCCTTAATGGAGCATCTAGTGTTTCTGAATTCATGCCCAGATGGTCCCGTGCACTACTGGATGGTCATAGCATCCGCTGCCATTCAAAACGACCTCTTGGGATCACTGCAGAAGATAAAATGTCGAGAAATTCCATTAGTCAGGAAGCTGAGAGATTCCTTCTTGATGCCATTAACCTGAGCTTCTTCGATCGTTTGAACTTGGCTTGGAAGATAATGTTCCCATCTCCTACATCAATAAGGAACTCCAATGCAATGGTTGCCAAGCAACGGTTGAAGATGATTCTCTTCTCTGATCGATGTGCAGTTAGTGATGAAGCAAAACAGAAGATAGTGAGCAACATTGTGAGAGCTCTATCAGATTTTGTGGAGATAGAATCACAAGATAAAGTTCAACTGTGTGTGTCTACAGATTCAGGCCTCGGTACTGTTTACTCTGTCACAGTACCTGTCCGGCGGGTGAGACCAGAGTACCAAGCTGAGGAAGAAATTGGAGCCATAACAAACATCGAGTATAAAGGTGCTGGAGAAAGTTCTGGTTCTGTTGATGTCAAGTTTGATTTCTATGTTCCAAATGAAAAGTTCAACGATTTTAGCGTGTGACTACTTCGTAGTTGCATGGTAGTGAGTGGTGATGCTCCTTCTAACTGTTTGGACTTGATAGTCTTGTAGATATTTCAATTTCTTATAGGTGGTTGAAGAATTTTACAAAGGTAAATGTGCCTCTTTATGTGAATGTCTTCAACTCTACAATGTTTCCTATTGGCCATCGTAGTCCGCTGTTGGAATTTTAGGTCGCGGGTTCAAACTTTACCGCCAGTCCCTTCCTTGGTAAAAGTTTTCAATATATATATATATATATATAAAGTGGATGGTTAGCAAAATTTTGCGTTTTTTTTAATAATAAGGGTGTTCAAATTTTTGATTATCCATAAATTTTGATCCTATTTTACCTTACCCGATTTTATTGATCGGTTACTCGAAAGAATCGAGTAGGCTAACGGAAGATCTTTTTATATTTCGCAAAAAATCATATAGGAATGTGGAATACCGACAAAATTTTTATATTTCTACTCTATTTTACCCTATATATATATTTGGGTAGGTCTTGTCTTTATAGAAATATCATTTTCATTAAATTCCTTAATATAAGAAAGTGTTGCAACATGCTTTTTTTTTTTATTCCAAAAAGTAGTAGGAATAGTATCACAAATTTCTTTTGTTATTTTACTTTCCAATTCTTTTAATATTATTTTAAACTCATTAGTTTCCATTCATTGAGATATATTGACTTCTTGTTGTAAGAAGTTTATTTGATTTTTTTTGTAAATCAAATTTTTTTTATTTGGTTTATCATTTTAATTTGAGGTGGAGTTATAAACTCAAATAATATTTTTTGACCTTATATGGTAGTTAAAATTCCTTTGGAATTAGTTCTATTTCTTCCAATTTTTTACATAATTTTTCTTATGTTTATTTCCTATTTTAAATAAGTTCAATGCCATCTTTCTTTGTTCAAAAAAGTTTCTGTTAATATATATGTTTCACTATTACTTTCATATTGCTATTGTAATTCATCTTTTAATTCTGCTATAGTAATGCTACAGTGACTTTCTAATACAGTAATCTTTTTTCTTTTTTCTACTCTTTGCTGTCAACGATTTACTGGGACCACAAAAACGATCTTGCTCCTATTTCTCAGACATGGCCTAATGTCCCTACATGACTTGGGTGTAGATCCATAGAAATTAAAAAAAATAGCATTATAACAAAACTATAGTAACAAATGCAAAGTAACATTAGCATAACATAATTACACCATAATTACTTAAGCAACATGAGTAAGATGGCTCTGATACCAAAAATAGAGGATCGATGCACAAATATTAGCAAATACTTTTATTTAAATCAAACAAACTTACAGAGTTTTACTTACAGAGGAGAAGACAAGGAGAAAAAGCAGAAAAAGGAGGAGAAAAAAGGAGGAGTTTCTTTACAAGGGCAGGAGAGAGAGAGAAGAGTTTGAAGGGCATGTCCAACAGATTGGCCAGACACCCTTTAAATACAGGTGGACTTAAAAGTCTGGATTTCAAAAATTTTACTATTTATAACTTCATACTGTTCATGACGTCATTGCATACGTCATCTTTACTATTTATGACGTCACTACTTGCGTCATTATCTACGTCATTGTGCGCGATGATTTTCACACAATAGATGTAATAAGAACAGATCTCTCCTCTGGTGAACTCATGTTTGTCGATGTGGTGGATTCCGCAGTAAGGAATGAGTTGAGAGGGCTAAAGGGGGCCTAAAGAGTGGTGATGAATTACTCTTAGGACTATCCAATTGATCTTGGGGGATGGCAGATCGTTCCTGACACACAGAAAATAAGTTATAAGGGCATTAGAGTGTTTTTCGGTGTATCCCCTTCGACGATCAAGTCAGTTCTTTGAGAGAGGGTAAGAAGAAAGCACTGTATTGCTCTTGAGGGGTGAATTTGTGCACCTTTGCTTCACATTTTTGGGAGCTACTTATACCCTTAAAGGCTTATCATTGCTGATGATCTAGACACTAGGTAATGATCAGACATGGAAGAATGTGCTTCCTATTGTGCATGGAGAGGCCCCCATCATTGATTGCTCGGGCTCCCGAAGTTAATGGTCTTTCTTCAATGCGAAGACTTTAAATGCTCGGAGCCCAGAGCATTTAATACTCTATATCCCCTGCTCCCCAAGCTACTGTGGATGTCCCATAACTGAGGATTCATTAAATGCTTGCCTGGAATGGCCGTAAATCAGCAGGGATAGTTCTGTCTTTTTACCCCTTATTCTGCACCTTATGCCACACGTCTGACTCCCTCTGGTTAAGTGTCCAATTTGTTATGCTATTTTGACTTCATAGTGCAGAGTGCCCTCCNAAGTTTTACTTACAGAGGAGAAGACAAGGAGAAAAAGCAGAAAAAGGAGGAGAAAAAAGGAGGAGTTTCTTTACAAGGGCAGGAGAGAGAGAGAAGAGTTTGAAGGGCATGTCCAACAGATTGGCCAGACACCCTTTAAATACAGGTGGACTTAAAAGTCTGGATTTCAAAAATTTTACTATTTATAACTTCATACTGTTCATGACGTCATTGCATACGTCATCTTTACTATTTATGACGTCACTACTTGCGTCATTATCTACGTCATTGTGCGCGATGATTTTCACACAATAGATGTAATAAGAACAGATCTCTCCTCTGGTGAACTCATGTTTGTCGATGTGGTGGATTCCGCAGTAAGGAATGAGTTGAGAGGGCTAAAGGGGGCCTAAAGAGTGGTGATGAATTACTCTTAGGACTATCCAATTGATCTTGGGGGATGGCAGATCGTTCCTGACACACAGAAAATAAGTTATAAGGGCATTAGAGTGTTTTTCGGTGTATCCCCTTCGACGATCAAGTCAGTTCTTTGAGAGAGGGTAAGAAGAAAGCACTGTATTGCTCTTGAGGGGTGAATTTGTGCACCTTTGCTTCACATTTTTGGGAGCTACTTATACCCTTAAAGGCTTATCATTGCTGATGATCTAGACAGTAGGTAATGATCAGACATGGAAGAATGTGCTTCCTATTGTGCATGGAGAGGCCCCCATCATTGATTGCTCGGGCTCCCGAAGTTAATGGTCTTTCTTCAATGCGAAGACTTTAAATGCTCGGAGCCCAGAGCATTTAATACTCTATATCCCCTGCTCCCCAAGCTACTGTGGATGTCCCATAACTGAGGATTCATTAAATGCTTGCCTGGGATGGCCGTAAATCAGCAGGGATAGTTCTGTCTTTTTACCCCTTATTCTGCACCTTATGCCACACGTTTGACTCCCCCTGGTTAAGTGTCCAATTTGTTATGCTATTTTGACTTCATAGTGCAGAGTGCCCTCCTGACTCCTAGTTTAGTTTAAACTGTTCAACTATCAATTAGTAACCTTTCTAGAAGCCGAAGACTTGTGGCAAGATCGGAGTTTGTGAGTACCCTCGGGGCCACTTGACTACCCCCGAGTGGAGGTAACCTCAGAGCCGAGGGCACATGCCTTGGTGCCGAGGAACATGTCATTGTTAGAGCAGGGGTCTCGGTGCCGAGGACACACGTCGTTGATCTAACACCCTCCTAGAAGTGTCCCATCAATTGCCTCCAGCCCTTTGATNGATGGCCGTAAATCAGCAGGGATAGTTCTGTCTTTTTACCCCTTATTCTGCACCTTATGCCACACGTTTGACTCCCCCTGGTTAAGTGTCCAATTTGTTATGCTATTTTGACTTCATAGTGCAGAGTGCCCTCCTGACTCCTAGTTTAGTTTAAACTGTTCAACTATCAATTAGTAACCTTTCTAGAAGCCGAAGACTTGTGGCAAGATCGGAGTTTGTGAGTACCCTCGGGGCCACTTGACTACCCCCGAGTGGAGGTAACCTCAGAGCCGAGGGCACATGCCTTGGTGCCGAGGAACATGTCATTGTTAGAGCAGGGGTCTCGGTGCCGAGGACACACGTCGTTGATCTAACACCCTCCTAGAAGTGTCCCATCAATTGCCTCCAGCCCTTTGATCTTCGTATGGAAAGGACACGTGTCGTCGAAAGGTGAAAGGGCTCAACTGCCTCATCATTGCCTCAGCCATTTTTTGCCTTTTGGAGATCGTGAGCATTGAATGCGTCTGTCTTCGTGTATCATGTACAATGATGGGTACATAGGCCCTATATAAACAGAGCATCCTCCCCCCATTTTCANCTCTAGAAGCCGAAGACTTGTGGCAAGATCGGAGTTTGTGAGTACCCTAGGGGCCACTTGACTACCCCCGAGTGGAGGAAAACTCAGAGCCGAGGGCACATGCCTTGGTGCCGAGGAACATGTCATTGTTAGAGCAGGGGTCTCGGTGCCGAGGACACGTGTCGTTGATCTAACACCCTCCTAGAAGTGTCCCATCAATTGCCTCCAGCCCTTTGATCTTCGTATGGAAAGGACACGTGTCGTCGAAAGGTGAAAGGGCTCAACTGCCTCATCATTGCCTCAGCCATTTTTTGCCTTTTGGAGATCGTGAGCATTGAATGCGTCTGTCTTCGTGTATCGTGTACAATGATGGGTACATAGGCCCTATATAAACAGAGCATCCTCCCCCCATTTTCACTTTTCGAACCCTTGAGCTTTCCTTTAGAGATTTCGTCGTCGGAGAATCGTAGGAGTCTTGCTGCCTGAAGAACCACAATCCCCTTTTTCTGCCATCATCAAAGGAGAAAAAGCTTTCTCAAGCTCTCTCAATCTCTCAGTTCATCTTCCTAGTATTTTTCGATGAGTCTTCAACCCTTTTACTTCTCTTTTCTTCCTTTTTCATTTTCCTGGCGAACCGGTCACCATCCAGACCCCCATTGTCTTTGTTCTGAGAAACCAAAGACCCCAAGATAGTCCCTTTGGATTTCCCTTCTTCATCGCTTCACATCTCGTAGTGTCCCTTAGGATCCCCACCTTAGAGAAAGAACCCTTTGAACCCTTTACTTTCTTTTGGAAGAGATGCCAAGACATTGCCCTGTCGCCGAGGTCCAAGAGGCTAGGACCTCTAAGCCGAGGAAATGGATAGTG